GTGAGTCGCATACGTGGTGTCGAGATGATAATCGAGCTCTTTCATGCTCACTCTGTCTATTAAAATGTAATGAAGAAGGGGCAGTAGTGTTACAATACAGTAAATTTTAATGACGTGACCAAGGGGTAAGTTTCTTTACCAGCGTGTGCGTTGGAGAAATTCATATCCGGAAAAGTTATTTTCTGTCCTAGCGTTAAGTTTAGGTTTCAAATTGTTTAAAAATTATTTTTAATGTTATGAATCAATCAGCCAAGACCAAGGCTGATTCTTCATTTTGAAATAAAGTCATGAATCTATGTTATTCAAATAAATCATTGTTCCTGCCACAACTGGCAAATTACGTACTGACCGTCACTCAAGCAATGTTTTCTAACCCAGTACTTATTATACAAATGTAAGTTGAAACCTAACATTCTCCCATTGATGTGCCGTGCCTGACCCAGAACTTCGGCGTGTCATAAGAGGTGTGGTTGTAGGTACTCGCCAAACCCTTATCTCAGGCGATATTTCAGTTTTACGGGGCGCTTGGATAGGTGATCAACCGAACACAACTGTTGAGGAATCAAGTCTAATTTTAATGTTCAAATGTTATGAGCCATTACATGTGACTGCGTTTCTCTCATTACTAGAACGCACAGCTAAAATGCGATGGAAGGCAAAAAGACGTTGGCGATTACAGATGTTTGGATATTATTTATGTTTTGTTGTCGTGCCTTTAAACAGAAAAGAAAATCTTTCTTATTACATATTTTACAAATAATTTGAAGTAAGAAGTTTAAAATTTTTTTGCATTGTTTAATGTACAGTTCACAAACCAAAATAAATAATCCTATAAAGAAATAAAAATCAGCCAATCAGTGAATTTACTTTCAGTATTTTAACAATTCTCAGTTTATTTGAAACGTTCTCTTCTGTGACAACTGTTTGATAGATAAAATATGTTCTGACGTGCCGAAAACAAATTCAGGACGCACCTTACATTGCTTTTATGTCAGAGTACATTCATTCAGGAAAAATTTGTTGGTTCAGCTGACGAAAGATCTGATGGTCTTTTCCATCATGTAAAGAACGTAGTTTCAAATCTAAGTTTGTGGCTTGAATGTGTGAAGTGGCATCAGTTTTGAGCGGATACTTTAATGGTCTTCAGCGTAGAGTATGGGAAATATATCTACGCACTGTTCATGTGCACTTCTATGCACGTCTTGAACTTTATTCTTTGTCATAACCTTAAAAGTATTAAGAAATGCAGCTAATTTTTTTATTCCTTAAATGACAGTGCTGCCTTACATCACATTCAACGAAGGGAAATTTTGCTTAAATGAATATCTGAAGAGGGAAGTCTCTAGCTGCTAGTTGGTTTCTCAGTCCCCATTTGTTCAACGTAACTGAAGAACACAGAATCTTGATCCTGCAGTAACAGGAAGGGTGAAATGCAAATAACAGAATGGCAGTGATTTCGGAAGAAATTTCAAACAGTTTTTTGTACTAAATTTATTTTCTGATGTGTTCCCACATTTTTGACATTTTGTTTCGTACATCGCAAACAAGAGATCTTGATGTAAGGTTTGTACCACTGAAATAAAATAATTTCAGTCATCTACAGAATGAAGCAAAGCAAGGTTTCCACTTCTCTGGATGTCATCAGATGAGATTCAACGCAAAAAATGAAAGGGCAAAATCTGACGGTAAATTCTGTAGAGGAAAACAACAGAATACTTTTCTATGAAAGTGATGACCCAAGTTTATGTTGGTACTTTCCACTTGCATTGCTGAAAAACAAACTAATCGTCCTTAATGGCTCAGAAGGCTTTAAATGAAACTACCCTTACAAAATTCTGCAATGGTTTCATAGCAACAGAATGGCCACAATTTTTTAAGAAACTTGTGAAGTAGCTAATTTAGTATCCTTCAGTTGAACAAAGCATCTCAGTCCCTGCAAGAATCAAGGTCAGGAAAGGTAAAGTCATCGCTATTTGATACGAATAAAGAAAGCCTTAGTTACAGACTTGAAGAAGCCTAATTCTTATCTGCAGGTTATTGAAAACTAATTGCAATGGATAAGTGTCAGCCCCTTCGTGGAATTAACAGAATTTCTATGTAATTCAAGGCATTGGGCGATGTGACAAATATGCGACAGTCCCTTTCGCCTTACAAGCGTTACTACGTGAACGATCTGGAGCTTTAAAAGCATCTAAGTATAATAAATTCTTCTCAGGCTACCAGCCGTGTCATGTGGTTGAAAAGCTAGAAAACCAACGTTTCGCGAACCATTTTCATCCACCTGAAACGGCTGGTAGCCCGAGAATAATTTATTATAACGTTACTACGTTTCAGATTTACAATTCTGCACGAAATTCCATATCGATATATCGGTTAAAAATCGATTTATATTTCAGCGTATGCCAACTTAATGAAATCGACGTTTAATTAATTGCATCATACTCATACGGTTTGGCTGAGGTCTACGTGAAAATTTGGAAATGAAACATTTCTTAAGATCTCTGAACTGAAGTAAGAATAGTTTATAATAATATATAGTTATCGACTGAAATCTATTGCTTCACAACTGAATGAACATTCATATTGTTGATTGCTGGTGTGGAAATCGAATAACTGTAGCTATTGTACCGCTGAATCAAGGCCACTCTCCGTTGTTACCTGGTGTTTCAGTTCAAGGTCCAGATGTAGCGTGAAACGTCATGAAACGCTATCTCCCTGCAGATATGGTTTCTTTATCGAGGTGATCACATTTGATTCTCGCACCTGAATCTGCACAGAGTCGCTATGCATAAACAACAGTCTCCATTTTAATACTGACAGGTGAGTTTATTTCAATTTTTAATAATTATTGGCGCATTAGAATATAGAATCTGTCTACTCGAGCGTCCTGTGTCCACCTTTTCTAGCATCCGCCAAAACGAAATTATATAGGCCCAAAACACCGAAGTTTCTGATTGGCAATTCCAACCACGAATATTATTTCTGTCTCTCTTAAGCGTATAACCAATTCTGTGGACAGGTTAGGTTATATTGGTTATTGAAGAGTGATTGGGAGAGTGGTTCAGCACTACCGATTGTCCATTGTCTACATGTATGAAATGTCTTCGAGGATATTAAGATGTATTGATTCAAATTACGTCTTGTTTCGGTAGTATGTATTTTAACCCTTTGAAATGCCCGCGTGGCCATGACTCTTTTTAGCTTCGAGTTTGAACTCTGCGCGAACTCCATATTTGTTCTGGCACACTGCCGTCTGACCAACTTCGTATTTCAATATCTGTAAGTATTTGACGTGTAAGTGGCGTTGATAACCTTATGGACCAATTGCTTTGAGTTATGCCATCATGCGACAAAGTAGGAAGGACTGAATACTCGTGTAGTTGACGGAAGTTACAGTCATAAATTGCAAGGCGACAATTACAGATCGTTGACACAGCTGTGTCGAGGAATGTCCCTTTAGTAACTCAGCTTTAATGAGACGATGTTTTAATCTTTCATGAATAGATTAGTCGGACTGTAAGATTATCCTTGGTGCACAGAATACAGCGCCGATAAATAACACTCGTTCTGCGCAACTCCGTGGAGCATATGAAGGAAGCAGGAACTAGATTATTGATCGTGTTGGACATTCACACTTGACACTAGCCCTGATGCGCACAAGCCTTCACTCACGGCCTGATTGGCTGGAAGACTGCACATCTTGTTTTGCGACTTAGATATGTAGTACAGCCACATTTTTTTTACGCAGGCCGCAGTTTTAGCTGTTCAGGAACCTTGACCAAGTCCACTCTGCCGAAATCAGTTCTAAGGAGCAGTCCAGATAAGCCTGACTAGCTATCGATTTGCTGTGACTTATACATTTCTATCAAAATCTGGTTTGCTACGCCGCGGAGCCAATGTAGTGTGATGTTTGTCCGCTAGATGGCAGTTGTGGGCGACAGAGTTCACTTGTGGATTGTTTTGTGTGGCGAACACAAAAACACCTCTTTCTTATACCCGCATCCCTGTATTGAACGATACAGGGAGTGTAGGTAGGTCAAATGGTGAACAACACGTAAAATTTACAAACGAATACAACAAAGGAAGTCTTAGAACGGTAGTTTCTTCGCCCACCCACGCGTGAGGTCGGTGTACTAATTCTTGAATTAAAATGTATTTTATTATCAGGTCGTAAATTTGCATTGCCTATTGTATATACATTGTGTAATGCAAACAATGCATTTTCAGGACTACGTGTTTGTGCAATAGGAAAATAGGCCTTGCAAGTCACCTGAAACGGCTGGTTTATTTTGGTCGTCATGTAGAGAAGAGAGGTGGCTGCCATTTTATGGCGAGTGTGGCGCTAAATGCGGTAGAAATCCGAAATGCCTGTGAGAGCTGCAGTTTGCTTGACTCTTGTGACCGTGAGTAGAAAGTGGCAGAGGAACCGAATTACGGAGCTGCGCGAAGAGAAAAATATTTCTAAATTCTTATAAGTCGGCAAGGGCAAGGTCAAGGTCGTGTAGAGCAGGGTTTTTCAACCTTTGAAGACCTAGGGCAGCATCCACCCTTTCTTATCGGCTCGCGGGCCGCCGGGTTATCAACGAGAGCAATTTATTGAAACTCCATGTCAGTTTATTAAAACTGCCACTAATTTATGTCACAAGAAGGTTTATATGTCGCCGAATAACTTAATTTGGCATATTTTGCTAGAGATTAATTAACCACCACCACATGAAGACTTATCGAGAATGACTGACTTTGAGTTCGAATCCCGGCTTTGTCACAGCCTTCTTGATCGAAGTAAGTAACAGGGGCTCGTTTGAGGAAAATACCACAAAAGGCCACCGTAACTAGCAACAGATCTTTCTAGAGTTCTCCAGACTCAGAGAGAAACCACTCGCCGTAAATAAATATGTTTGTTGGTTCCGTTCATGGTCTCTGCACAGCTGTTGTGCTGATTACGTCACACTGTAGTACGCCTTCAACGGTGTTTTCATACGTTATCCGGCCGGTCGGCTTACAGACAGACAGACAGACAGACAGGCAGGCGCAGTAGTGAGTTTGGTGTCTGGGTGCAGTGAAGTTAGCAGTGAGTGCTTGCTTGTTTGTACTCATAACCTGAATCGTGTAGCGGACTGAGCTATATTTTAGTGTATATGGAGAAGAATTCTTGATCATTTGTTTCGCATTATTTCCGGTGAGTCTTTTACTTTTCATGGACGTGCTGATAATTTAAAGTCTAAGACCAAACTCAACGAACGACACGTAACAATGAAATTGTCTTGTTTATGTAACGGGGCAGAATTTTGGTTGCTGGTTTTGTGTGCGTTCAGTGATTTAACTTTTGTGCTGTTATCGTAAATACGGTACCTTTGTGTGAGTTTGTCCTTCGTATTGAACAGTGGCGTATGTCGAGTGATACAGTTTGGATACTGGCGTTGAAAGGAAGACTGCCATATGGCCAATTAAACCCGTCCGGTTTTTGTTTTTTCTGAATAAGGCAACTTCTGTAATTTTAGGTTCTGGTATAGACTGCTTTCTAAAATGTTTAGAATTATTTTCGTGTGTTTTTTCGTGGGTAAACCTATTTTTCTCGTGAAACACGCCATATTTTAAAGTAATGTAACAACCACACTTAAGGCACGTGTATGTTTCTCTGTCTGGTGGGCACATTTAACTGGAATACGTAGTTGATATTCTTTTCTGTTATTTGTTTAACGATTTGGTTAGTAGGTCAGAATATATTAGCTTCGAGTGGTAGGATGATCAAGTAACCGTGGGCTACGTTGAGGATCCCGACATTTGCCTGAAGGGACTGAGGAAAATCAGGAGAAACTTCAGTCGGTATAGCTGGTTTTCCGTTCTTCCGAAAGATGACGTTAGCTTCTGTTCCGTGTTTTGTAAATTGATTGCTGTTAGTAGGTGTCCGTAGTGCAGGGAGGTTCGTCGCGAAAATATTGTGCGAGTGAACGTACCCGCCGCGGAGGACCAGGAAGTTGCTGTTCGTTGACGAAGGCCGCTCACTCAGCCTTGCAAACTCAGCTGCTAACCGGAAGTGGCCATTTAAGCTCCTTTGGCGCCACGTAGGCTACAAAACTCTGCAGTTGATAAAGCGCCTTTAAATAATCTGGGAGTCAATCTAAATGTAATGAGGTCATAATGCGAATGGCGAAGTAGAATGTCGTGCAAGAACGTTGTTTGTCTGACCGTTCTATTAGCGGCGATCGTAGATTCATTACCAACTTGCGAATAAGTGAATTTATTTTCGTCGTCCCGCTAAATCTAGTCACTTGAGAATGTTAAATATTTGTTGTGGGCTCCTACATTTCACACTCATTTTTGCACGATTTGCGTATAAAATGAGCTCATAATCGAGGTAATCTGCCTATCTAAGGACATATCTTATCTCCGAAACTACTCAGCGGATTCAGATTAAATTTAGTATTTGGGGTATGAGCACCAAGAGTTGGTAAAATTAAATTTTGGTGAATTATAAACTGTGCTGTGCTAACTCTATTGAGAAGTAAGGAGTCTCTCAGTTAACCAAGAAATTAGCCATATTTTATGGAACCCTATGATTCATTATTCGACTGTTTACGAGATCCCCTATTGATCCTAATTCCACTCATCACATCATAACCTGTTCCTTTAATACTGGCCTCGATCTATTCGGAGGTTGTCCAAACAATCTCTTCCTTTCAGGTTTACCAGTAAAATTTTGCAAGAATTTCTCAGCTCCCATGCGTGCTACATGCCGTGCTCATTCTTTTTAATGTGGCCACACTGATAATATTAGATGAAGAATACAAATTTGGAAGCTTCCTACTTTTAGGTCCACCCTGTTCTCAACAACCACAGTTTGTGTTTCCCCCCATAATATGAGGGATCAGACACAAGACAATTTCAAACTTTAGGCTTAGTTGGTAGTCGGGGAAAACAACAGAATCTGAACTGAATGTTTCTCCAAAAATGTATCTGATTTCGTAATTTGTTTGTTAGTTTAAGTCTTTGTTGGTTCCGTTTTTAGAAAATGGAGTTTACCGCATTTATCGATTGATTTATCAGCTGTGTTCTGCGTATTATCGTTTTGTCCGGCCTTGTGGTGACGCGACGTGGCCGTACAAGCCTACTTCTTTCTGCGTTAACTTTCTAGACCAGGGGTGGGCAACCTGTGGCCTTCTAGGTCCTTAAGTGCGGCCTTTTGACTGAATCCAAATTTTTACAGAACAAATCCTTTTATTTTTATTAATACATACTGCAATCAAATATTCAAACGCTTTCCAACAAAAATCAGACGCAACAAAGTCATTAAAAGATTAGTTAACTTTAAAATTAAGAAATATTTTTCATTTTTTGAAATTATTAAGTACATAGAAGTTAGATTTTTTACGAAATAATGTACGTTTTTAAGTATATATAATTGAAATTTCTTGAATGTGGCCATATTAATACCGGTTTATTGAGGCGAAAATTATAAATCGCCGTGTAGGCATGAGAGGATTTGTACTGAGGCGTTTTGGTTGCAAGAGAAATTTCTGCTGAATGATGCGTTTTACGATAACTTTTTGTGATTTCGCTCCAACTTTTGACACAGATATGAATGGTTACGTAGACTATTTAACAATAGTGTTGACGTAAATTATAAGTATTCTAAGTTTCGGTGAATGTGACAAAATACGAAATTTGCCTGATGTAGAACACAGGTACACTCATCGAATTAGACTAATTAGCATAAACTTTTTCCGAAACAGCAGAAGTTCGACAACTACTGGAATATACCAGTGTATCCCATTCCATTCCAGACACTTCCTAATATTAAAAGGCGATCAAAGAATATTTTCTTATCAGGCCATTACGAGTACAAATTGCATCTTACATGTTCACCTGTACGAATCTTATTACAGGGTTTGCTTGAACCATTCTTAGACTTAATTTCGTAGATATCCCATACCAAATTCGGTGACATTGCACAATACTTCTCTCCTGAGTCACAGGTTTTCTTGAAGTTTGTATACGCTGTCCTATTGTACTCCCACGTTTCTTCAACATTATCTGAAGAATTCAGAACATCTGATCTATAGTCCGTTCCTTTACGTTGACGTCAACACTTAAGTTTCTTTCTCGGTAATGTTGTCAATTCAGAGTAAATTATTAGATAAAATTGCTTATGAAATTAGTACAGTCAATTTTATTGTCCCCTTAATATATAAATAAGAAACAATAATTTGTTTCTCCTGCTGGGGTAAATTCTATCGGGAGTGGATCAAATCTCACGCGACTGAACTCGTTCCAGTGCACATTTAACATCTGACCGAAGTTATTATCGTAATGTTGCGGAATCTGGAAAGTGTATTGTAAAGATGGCTGTCGTCTGGGTGGTTGCGCCGTGCACTCTGGTGGAAGTTTACCGAAGTTTCAGAGGTCTTAGCTACCTCCATTATCGACCTGATGATTTTTTAACATGAGCGTAGGAATACTTGTGATGTAATTGTTAGAGTACGTACCATTTTAAAAGAACTCGTTTTAGATCCAACCCATCGCATTTAGAGATTCCGTAAACCTACGAAGGTGCTTAAGTAGACAGCCAATCGCCTCTAAGACTGGTGAGTAGAATTAATTGCCGATTCCTCGCGTGATTGTGTCAACAGATACACCAAAGACAATGGCCGGTGTCTAACGTAATAATTGGTACAGTGA